TTTGAGTGTGTATAATTGTGTGTGTTTGTGTATGTGTCTGTGAGTGTGTGTAAGTGAGTTTGTGTTTGAGTGAGTGTATCTGTTTTGCACTCTTGATGTTTTAGAGTGTAACCCCTTCCTTGCCGTCTACTTTTTTACTGCATTATAGTTGAATTATTGCTTTTATTTTTCATATTTGCTGTGTTACAGTCACACCAGTTCATAGGTGTGTGTGTGTGTGGTTTTGCACTCTTGATGTTTTAGAGTTTCACCCTGTCATTGCGGTGTACTTTTTTTCTGCATTGTGTCAGATTTGTAGATTGTACACACAAAACTTCTCAGAATATTTGTGTTTTTGTCGATTTCCCATTAATTTCCTATGGTCGGTCATTTTTGACCGAAGACCACAAGTGTGACTTATTTTTTTACGACCACTTAACCTGCTCGAATCATGCCCTCAATTTTTTTGTGTTCACATTCCAAATGCCATAAAAGTCACCAAATTTCGTACCATTCAGATGAAGCTGTGATTAAAAAAATTCAAAACAGAAAATGTTTTCGTCAAAAGTGACCGAAGAGCACCAGTGGGTTAAAGTTGTCCAAATAAAGTCCTTAGCAATGCACATTACTAATCAAATTAAGTTTGTTATCATGGAACATGATCTTTACTTAATACCCTAATGATTTTTGGCATAAAAGAAAAATCAATAATTTTGACCCATACAATGTATTGTTGGCTATTGCTACAAATATACCCCAGCGACTTAAGACTGTTTTTGTGGTCCAGGGTCACATATATTATGGTACTTGTTCATTAGCTGTTTGATGCAGGAACATACTAGATTTTTTCCCCTTCACTCATTTTACTTGTTTCCATACATGTCAACTGGCAGTAAAGCATGCATTTACTGGTAAAGGTGGGGGAAAAAATTAAATGTAGGCCTAATACAATTTCTGGAAAGTCTGAACATTATGGGAATAGGGAATGAAGTTGTGCCACCTATGGGGAATATTGTTGCGGTGCTTACAGGAATATAATCATGCTTTTAAGAATGCTCTCATAATAGTATAATGGTAATAGAATGCAGAGTTTTAAGAAAAAAATCCATAAAACTTAAAAGATTAAAGTTACAATTAAAGACAATAAAGTCACAAAGAAACTAGCCTCAAAGTAGACATTATAAAACAATTAGTAAAAGGCTTAAGTAGTAAAAGGATATGATTTATGACTTTATTTTTGTAAAAGGCATATTTTGAAATTATTCCCAAACATTGACTTTTTATTCTCAAAATTGTAATTTTGTTATTTTTATTTTAATGTTGCACTAAAATGTTGTCCTACTGTGCAGAAGTCTCAGATGCTATCTCAATGTCAATTATACTATGTATATACAAACACATTACACTAATTTCTGCGTAAAAAAACGTTAAATGTAATTGAAGAACTGAGCGAGAGCGAGATGATGGCAAGCAAGGATTCCCCTCCCCCCTCTAACCTAATTACTCCGGCCTTCACTGGGCTGATTTCAGCTTTGAAACTTTTAACTAAATTGCTATTGATTCCAGAGTGGGAAAGCGAGTGTCTAGGCTTCCATTGCAGTGGTTGAAGTGGGTGCGACGGCTTGCCACTGATCAGGAGAAATCAGATTTCTCGGTGCCTGATGCACGGACCTTTCGTAAGGCCCCCAGAGTTGATTCTAATTATGACCCGAGCCCAGCCGCTTCCCAGCAGTGATGAGGTCATGTGCAGACATGGTGTCTTATAAGAGGGGACCAAGATGCTGGTGGCCTCACTTGGTCTCAAGAGCGCTTTCTCTTGCCATTTCATATGCACTCACCCTGCCCTTGAGGGAGAAGGGAAAAGAGATGGTAATGATGCCATCTCGTCTGTCCTGGGTTCCGTCTCTGGGGATCTGAGTGAGGAGACGCCATCCTTTTCAACTGACACATTGGTGATGGCAACTCAAGGTCCTCCTGCTTGTTAATGGAGAAGAGATAAGCCTGCCTCTCATTCATTGCTCTGAATAGGTGTATGGGAAACATCAATAGTTTCTTGAAATGAGGCTACCCAGCACTTCCCAACTGTCAACATTGTTGGCAGAGGCATCAGTCATTTGGTAAAAGCAAAGGTACCCTTGAACTGAACGATACTTGTAGCACAATGTGTTTATCTGGCAGCTTGTTGTAAAGTTAAGCATATTGCTTGCATACTTTCAGTAAATTGTATTAAGTCTGTTTGGCCTTAAAGGTGGAGTAAGTGATTTCTGGTAGCCAATGTTGATATTTCAAATCACCAAAACAAACACGCCCCTACCCCAAAAGGGTCTCGCCCCTATTTTGATAGCTCCGCCCCACACATACGTACGCAACCCAGGCAACGATTAGTTCTGTGAAACAAAGCAAAACCAATGTTACACCGTGTCTACACCGGACGCGAGCGGCGCGGAGCGACACAAAAAACTAGAACTCATTATAATCAGTGATACTGTCTACACTGGATGTGGCACGGCGTGACACGACAAATCCCCAACAGAAAACTGCTGCTGCATTCTGATTTTCAACGGTCGATTTGTCGCGTCCAGTGTAGACAGAACTGTTGCGTCCGGTGTAGACACCCTTATCGTAAGCCTTCTTTTCCGCTTTTGTTTTTTTTATCAGCCATCTCTATCTTTCTGCCGCTCGGCTCGGCTAATGTCTGTCCTGTGCACTGAGCGCTCTCTCCTCTGCATCATGAGTAGACACGCCCCTTACTGCTGATTGGCTACAAGTTTGTTTTGGTACTCGGCCCGACTCAGTTTTCTAAAGCGTTTTTGAAAAAATACATACCCCACCTTTAAGATGCAAAAATGCCAATAAAATGTATTGCAGCAAACTACTTTTAAGGACTCTTTTTTTTTTTTTCTCAAGGTCTAGGATTCTTTTATTGTGCATTGAGAAATATCCAGGCCCAGATGCCGTGTTTAGAAAAAAAATAAGCTCTTTGCTGCTAATAAGTTTTGAAAATTAAGCATTTTAGCTTAGGGTAAGACAAAACCACCAAAGAACATCTGAAGACTGTGACTCTTACGTGCCCATTTCGTGTTCTGGTTTATTTCCATTTCAACACACAAAAAACAAATTAATAAACTGTCAAAATTCATTGTCATTCATCAAAATGAGCATATCCAATGACTTCCCCTCTTGGCTAAAGTGGCGAGATATAATTTGCAACTTAAATGCAGAAATGTGTAAATAATTCAGTAGCTAAGCTCCCAGCCCAGGGTCTATGTGTCTCCACAGGGCTAGCTTGGCACAGAGTCAAGGATGTACTAGAAAGAGAGCACTTCACTTATTATTTCATCAGGTCTCTGGAGCAATGTATGCTGGTGATAGATTTGAAGTTTTAATTAAAGTGAATCTAATTTGTTGCCAGTGGCAGATGTATTTGTATGTTGGTCCTCTGCTCATTTTATCGGAATTGATTTTTTTTTTTTAAGTGTGGGCATATTGGTACAGTCATTGACTCAATGTTCCGATGCACTGTTGAAACGCAGTTAATTTGTTCACTCTAGGGTCTAATCAATGCAAGGTAAGTGATATACAGGGTTCACTGCTGGAATCAGGTATAGTAATGACTAAATACACACATGCGCATAAAATCACACACTTAACAGTGTACCCTAAACAGACACTTGATACTATTCCTTCCTACTACGCCAATACCCTCAGCTCCAACAGACTCTAGACAGAGGCTTTATCTCCACCGTACGGCCCTAGGATTACTGCTCAAAATCCTGTCATTCAAACCTTCCACACCTCCAGAAGTCAGATTGTTTGATTCGTAAAAGAAAGGCTGGGAAATGAGGAAGGATTAGCGTAATGGGGGGGGGGTTTGGTTGAATGCCCACACCTCCAGCTTTGCTCTAACCTGATAGAAACGGATTGTCCTGTGGTGTAATGATTTACTCTAATTAATGAAGTTTACATAGATTTTCTGGAAACTTCATAAGAAAGAATCAGATAATGCTTTATAAAATCACTTTAAATGGGGAAAAAAATCGAATTCATTTTCTTAGCTTGTGTGCTTGAAAAAAGTATTTTTATTTGGTCTTAGTTCTTTACTGTCTTGACATAATTGAGCTTGCATTTTGACAGAAAACCAGTAGGTTCGCTCCTTTTCCCCAGCCCATTCATGCAAGGATTTTCTTTCTTTGTTGCTTTGCCTATGGTCTTGAATTCTAAACCTTTACCTACAATTTGAGCTGAATACCTGGTTTTTAATGCAACTCTGCTAAGCTGATGAAATTCCCTGGGAAGGGCATTCATCAGGGTATTGTGGGATTTCACCTTTTGTTGTTGCAAGTCCAATCCTGTAGGCCAGTCAGAGAGATAAATGTTGGTTTTAGAGTGAGCAAAGAAAGACATGCAGTGTGCACATTTCCAGCAAAGTGAGCAGATTGGGGTAACATTCATATTTGACCTTCATTTAAATTCCCTTCCTGAGATAATCAAAGAGAGAGCCTTGCTGTGCTATTCACCTTGAAGCAACACGATCCGTCCCACTTCTTTTCCCAAACTGCATGGACACGTGCATAAAAAATGAGAGGGTTGTCACAGCTTGACACATGATTAGCAGCAACGTCACTTCTATGGCAAGTACACACACGAACAGACGTAAATTACTCTATGCAATTTATGGATTCGCTTCAAATGATACTGACATATCTAGACACATGGCCTAGTTCCCTCTTTGCTTTACCTATATATAATTCCCTGTCTCCTGTGTCCTTGACCTGCCCTCCTGAAATCCCCTTATCCTAGTTTTCCCTTTATTCTCTCACCATTTTTCAGCCTCCCACTCACCTTTCCTGCTACTCTGTCTTTGTCCTTCATCATCAGTTACTCTTTCAGTGTTTTCCCATTACTTACCCGAGCGCTCTTGATCCGAACTCTCTTCACTCTCTTGAAGAGATACTTGATGACTGACTGAAAATGTTTTTTGTACCGGTGCTCATGCAAGTCTCATTTCTGTTTTCCCGCAGTATGCCTCAGCTGGATGTCTGCTGTCCCTTCACCACAGCGAGAAGCCGGAGCACGAAGAAGTCTGTGAGTTCCGCCCCTACACCTGCCCATGCCCGGGGGCTTCCTGTAAATGGCAGGGCTCCCTGGAGGCCGTCATGCCACATCTCATGCATGCCCACAAATCCATTACCACCTTACAGGGCGAGGACATTGTCTTTCTGGCCACGGATATTAATCTACCGGGGGCTGTGGACTGGGTCATGATGCAGTCATGTTTTGGCCACCACTTCATGCTGGTTCTAGAGAAGCAGGAGAAATACGAGGGACACCAGCAGTTCTTTGCCATCGTGCTGCTCATTGGCACGCGAAAGCAAGCGGAGAACTTTGCCTACCGCCTCGAGTTGAACGGCAACCGTAGGCGGCTCACGTGGGAGGCCACGCCGCGCTCGATCCACGATGGCGTAGCAGCAGCCATCATGAACAGTGACTGTCTTGTGTTTGATACCTCTATTGCCCACCTGTTTGCAGACAATGGCAACCTGGGTATCAACGTGACCATCTCCATGTGCTGAGGTGGCAGCGTAAGGCTTTATCCAGTGACCCAAACCTTGAACAACCTCTGCTCCCTATCAGACTGCAGGTTCTAAAGGCAACGGTTGGGAGATGTATACATTTGTGTATATTTCGGTTCAAGAGTCATCCGCTAAAACAGCGCACACTTTCCAGATTCACAAGTAGGTTAGTTTGCTAGGTTAGGATGACAAGAGTCCTTCTCGAGATGAAGCGGGGATTTGCAGGTGTTAGCAACCCGTTGAAGGCATTGGTGCAATTGAGAATTTCTTTTGCACACCGCAAGGATACAAACACCGCAACTTTCTGATTACACCTTCAGTAGAAGTTCAGGTGTGGATAAATACCATCACAGAATCAAAATGCTAACTTGGGAAGAGTCTAGGCATGAAGGTGTAACATTTGCCTCAGAAGCTTCTAAAACTTATGTTGTACAAAACTGCACTACTTTTCGTCTATGGATATTGCGTGAAACCATGGAAATTGTACATGGCAATGTAAATGGTAATCCTCTGAATTTCATGGTTGTATATTGGCTTGATAAAACAATGCCCATGGTGGAAATGCAGTGTGCATGGTGGAAATAAAATTCACTTGCAAAAATGAGAATATAGCCACCATGTTTTTAAGGCAAGAATCTGACCTCTTCACTATGTTTTTTCCTTCCTTCCTTTTTTTTTTAAATCTGTCGTCAATGTTGCAAGACGTAATGAGGACAATACTTAGTTTATTTTATGGTCCTTATCCAGAGTAGAGAACTGGTTTGTGATCAACACAAATATAAGCTCGATAAAATGACAGAACTACAGCCAACCATTTCAAATTTTGTTACCCATGATCTAATGCCACAATTTTTTTTTAAAGGGATAGTTGGCCTATAAATGATAAATCTGTTATTTAATTGCCCTCATTTTCTAACACTTATTTGCAGAGCACCAAAGGAGAAGTTAAGTAGAATATCTCCGCTGTTCTCTAGCAGAGGACAAAAAGCACCATATAGACCATACAACCTGTGCTCTATATTTCAAGTCTTCTGAAGCCATATGATAGCTTTGTTAGAGGCAGACTGAAATGTAAGGCTTTTTACTGAAAATATCTAATTGTATGAAAAAGAGCAGCTCACACATTTTGCTAGATGACTTCTATACAGGTTTCAATAACACAAGGTGAGGAAATGACCAAATTTCCATTTGTTAATGAACTATTTATTTTATATAGGTGTTCCACCTTTGCGTTTTAGCGTACTTTGTCTTGTCAACAGTGACTGTATGTAAAAGATTTAGCCTGTGCACAAACAACAACCTGTTATTTTCTCGTTGATAAAGTGTCCGCATTTAATTGGTTTTGTTGTCTTTGTACTTTTTCTTACTTTATATTTGAGGTTATCTTTAAGGTATCTTTAAGAAAAGCTTTTGTAAAAATATAAACAACTTTAGTTTTGTTGGTATTTGTTGTTACTGTTACGTCTCTTACAAAATGATCGTTTAGTCTAGCTTTGTTTACTCTAGTTCTTTCAAACCCAGTAAGATCTGAACAATTTCTCACTCTCCTCTTTGATCAATGAACCCACACAATGCCTTACTAGTATACAAACTCAGTCTTTTAGAGTCTACCGCCTTCTAGGTCTCAGTGTCAAGTTCAGGTCACTATCCTCCAAACCTCCAGTGTCTAGAAAGAGACTTAAATTTTACAAAGTGGCATTTTGAGTGGGAAGGACATGGCACGTCATTCTACTTTGCCCCCAAAACCTGCTGCAGTAACCGTTTCACTTACACTGATCAAGTACGGAACCCAGCCTCTTTTCAAATACCTCTGATGACTTTGGAGATGTCTGTGCGAGAAGAGCATTGATATCCCTGAATGTGGGTGGTTCTGTGAAGAGATCTCAAGTTTGATGCACAACTGACGCTCTCAGCTCTTCTTTATATGTCTGCTGTTTTACTCCTTCTGAAAAATAATTAAAAAATGTAAATTAAATGTTTTATAAATCTGTTGTGGAGCAAATGTATTGATTTGTAGATTTTTCTTTTTTTTACATTTAGAGACCCATAGGACAAGATGAAAGTGTGCTCATGTGGTCAGTGTCTCCGCTCCTCAAACACGTGGACAGACTCTCGTCCCCGATGCTTGTTCTCTCTACATGCAGTTGTCATGGCAACTAAATATGCAAATGAGAAATCTAGCTCATTCATTCCTAGAAGAAAATTCTAGTATATTTTTTTTTAAATGTTCTTGATTAGTCTGAAATCACTTTTTCACACCTTTTTGTAGATTACTTCAAAATTAGTGAATCTGTCATGGTATTTACAGGTCTTGGATCGTTCCTCTAAAGATCGATAAACAATTATGCAGTTGAACCAAATGGATGGTGACTGTACAACCTCTATCATTTTAAGTCCTGCATAAAAATATCAAATGCATGTTGAACAGGACAAAGTACCTGCATGTAGATCACAAGCCCTGAAGGAAGCTCCAAGCTTCCAGGTCTATGTGGCATGACTCCTACGGCATTGGGATGACAATGCAAAGCTTGTGCAATAAAGAATAACAATTTAGTCACAGAAAACCGAACCATGTTCAATTTGCACATTTAGCCTAATCCGTTTCTATTTTCAAATAAAACACTGATATATTCTGATGTCTTAATTCTGATATGACCATCCACTTCTTGTAGCTTGTTGTAGCTCCAAGACAGAGACAAGACGTATACCATGTCAAAAGAGACCACCAGGCATCTGTCTCTCTCCCACGGCATTTTAGACTCCCCTACACAGAAGTGAACACAAAACTGAATAAATACATTTTAATGAAGTGAGCAGGTGGTTTCCTGAGCTGTGTGCCATGCCTCGCAATCAAGCCATCACGATCAATATTGAGCACCACATCCTAATGAACTTGCGAATAAACAAGTCTACGTAAAGGACTAGAATACTTAACATTCATGGCAATGAAATGGTGAGATGTTTCCTGTGCCAACCCAGTGATACAAATATTAGCATGTGCGAGTTTACAGGTCCATCAATATGAAAAACCCTAACCATGGTTATTTCAAATGCATGATTTGAAGAAAAAGTATTTTAAATAAATAAACGTTAAAGTCACAATGAAACACAAGTACTGACATCTTTTCTTCGGTACCGTGATGTACATCTGAGTGAAACGGATTATCAAAAAAGAAAAAAATGTAAGGTGGAAACTTGGTTCAATCCATTGACTGTTGAATAAATTTAGGCAAATCTGCTGAATGTGAGCTTGTTGAGCATTCAAGTCCTCCAGGGAAGTTCATATTTACAAGTTGGGAAGTCGTAATTATGATGCTGGGTGCATTCAAAATTGATTTGGTTGAAGTAAGATGGCAATGTAACGTTCCTACAAAATGGAAAGTTAAGCAAGATTCTCTACTTCAAAACTAAGAATAAAGAACGTGCATCTGTGTTTTTGCTTTTTAATGTTCTTATTCAATTCAAGAAGGTTCTGTAAATTGTTATATACTCCATGATTGTACAATAATATCGTATTTTTTGTACATGCTTCGCACCATGTCAGGTTCTAAGCAGGCGTACGAACTTTTCCTTGTGGCAGAGTCGTAGTACTACAGGTATTTGGAAATCTTAGAAAATCACAGGGTAGGTGAGTTTGATCAGGGTTGGAGCTAAATTCTGCAGTGCACTGGCCCTCCAAGGCAAGATTTGAGGAACCCTGATTTAGATGTTGAGTGGTGCTGTTTTATATGCAGTTGCTATTTATAGATCTCACATCTGGAAGAGAGGCGTGCACATGTTTTTTGTGCGTACGTTGGAATCACACGTACGCACATTTGAGAATTGAGATTTGATCAAAAGTAGGACAGTTTCTATGGAACATTTTATAAATGAGGCTCCTGAATTTCCCACTCGTAATTATGACTTTGTGGTGGTATTCATGTGCGTTCAACTCGTAAATACAATATTTCAGAAAAGATTTTATTGCACCTTTGCAGTCGATTGTAAGAAAAGTGTAGTTAAATAAATTGTTCACAAAAAGAACATGCATTTAGAAAATAGATGAATTTATTACGTGCATAACATCTTGTAAACAAAACCTGGAACATATACTATCCATCTCACAGAAATCACAACCATTTCAATAGTCAGTACTGCAATATATTAGTCTTGCTTTCTCACCCAATTCTCACCCAATTCTGTTTTTAGAGGCTATAGTAATATAATTTGCAGTATTGAATGGTGTTGCTGCAGAAAGCTAATATTTTGCTTTCGACCTGTTCCTTTAACTATTATTCAACATTTAAAATTCTCATGGTAATTATTCACGATTTCGTTTGGAAAATACTGACTGTGGCTAAAATGTCAATAAGATTGCTTACAACTACAGAAGACGGCTACATCCAAAGACCTGATGACCTGTTTGTATATTTAGATGGAGTTCCATTAAGAACTAGCGTGAACATCTTTTTATCTCTGTTTTTTGATAGCTTATTGAAAATGGGGTTGGTGATCGATGTAGTCTAGCATGTGAGCATTGCAAGGAGGGACATCACACAGGGGTAACCCAACAGCATACACTATTAAAGTTCAGTGCAAACAGATATTTGACCTTTAACCTTGAGTATTGACTTGAACGTTTAGTGTCTGTGAGGAGTCAAATCTGCAGTACTCCTGATTGGCCAATTATGAATACTTCGCATTTGACCGCTCATGAATTGAACAGATCATAGTAACTCGTGGTTATAACAGATTGACTTAAGGGTGATTCGCTTAATTTACTGTATTAAAAGCTGTGCTAACTGTGTAATGTTTTGCTATGAAAAGAAATAGTTTTGGGCATGAAAGGAATAGTGTGATTTTTTTTTTTTTTTTATCAGGCTAGATAAATTTACAGCAACAGCCCAGATTTCCAATAATCACACCACACATTTTAATGTTCAACTTCGTGTTTATTACTATTGAATTCTGTGTGTGTTTATTTACTCAGTATATCTGTGTAATTGTTTTATCTTTTCTTGCTAGGTTATTGAATATGTTGTCATGGCCATAGCGATCATAATTATTCATTAGCGATGAAATGCTGTTTCCTGTTGAGCAGGTATAAATGGGTAATGTACACATCTGCTTGGTCTGATATTGTTTTTTTTTTTTAACTGAACACGCTTAACTAAATGTCTTTTAATAGTTTTACAACTGAATCCATAATGATTGGTGTACTTTGATTGCATCGTAATTTTGGAGTTTATTGTTGACACTGTTAAACAAGACATTTTTGGTCTTTGTACCATTTAAATTCAAATAAAATTTGAATTTATTTGTCAAATGAGTGTACTGTGTGTAACATGATGCCAGGTAGCCATTATACATTTAATTACTGCAGACAGATATTTAAAAATTCTAAAAAAAAAAAAAATCGAGGTCTAAAATTCTAAACACATTTATTTTCCTCTGAATATTTCTTAAACCCTGTTTCATCCGCCTGTGATCTCTGTGTTTGGTAAACCCTCGGTCATTTCCTCTGTCGCGCTCCCTTCTGTCTCTGTCACGTTCCCTTTCTCTCTCACGCTCTCTTTCCCCATTATTCTCTCTATCAACACCCCTTCCTTTGTCTCTTTCTCTGTCTCCCTGCCGTGTGTCTTCATGTCTTTTATCCTCTCGGTTTCTGTCTGTCTTTTTGTTTTCTTCTCGATCCCTTTCCCTCTCACCTCTATACCTATCTCTGAATCGGTCCACCTCATCTGCTCTGTCTTGTGGGTTCCTGAAGTCTTGTCTGTCCCTTCTGCTTCCTGCCGGTCCTTTCGCGGCATACTTCTCGTATGCCGTGTCCTCCTTCTCATTCTTCACTCTGACAGGAGATGATGCTGACGGCTCAGTCCGTGCCTCATGTTTCTCTTCTTTTAGTGCTTTTTTCTTCTCTTTCTTCTCCTTCTTCTTTTTCTTCTCCTTTTTATCTGAAGTATAACAACATAAATCAGTCATTTAGTCAAAAAACTAAAATACTGTTTATTAAATAATAAAAGATAAACATCTTGAAAAAAATCATATCAAATGAACAAATATAACCTCTTTTCACCTTTTTTTGGCTTTTTCACAGGTACAGCATATTCTTCCTCAGACCCTGACTCAAAGGAGGAAGGCAGGGGGACTTTAGGAGCACATCCCTCTTCTCGCAAACATTTAGTGACATCATCAATGTCTTCGTTGTCCTTGGGTGGTCGATAATTTGCTACATGGTCCACACGTATGGTTCGCCCCTTAATCTTTAAAGCAGAAAAAAATAAAATAATTAAGAAACAAAAATATAAGCAACACATGAGTCAATTACATGACACTATTATTTCCCCGATATATGAGTTCCTTTCTTAATGAAGGAAGGAATGAATGAATGAAATAAAATATAATAATTTGACCTCTTTATAACAAACTAGGGCTGGGCGATATGGGCAAAAATATTATCACAATATATTTATTTTCCATATCATACAATATTAATATTTGTCACGATATTAATTTACCGTTAATGGGGAATTAAATACTGTCCACATGTTTTTAGGCCTTGAGAATAAACAAACATAACTTTGTTCACAATAATAATAATAATAATAAAACAATAAAAAAAAAATTCAGGGCCCCATGAAATTGGTTTTATTTTTTCCTTAAAGGGATCATATGATGCGATTTCAAATTTTCCTTTCTCTTTGAAGTGTTACAAGCTCTTGGTGCATAAAGAAGATCTGTAAAGTTACAAAGACTAAAGTCTCAAATCCAAAGAGATATT